GGTTCTGGGGCCCATTATACTATAGTTATGATAAGGACCCCCGCCCCCTCCCCCCCCAAAAAAAAAACATAGTATTGGTAATTATTTAGGCCGCTACACTAAAGCGACCCTTAAGGAAACCTCAAACCGAAAGTGGGGTTCCAACCGACCATAGGCTTGGACTTGTACAAGTTGCCAGAAACCGGTAGGGTTTAGGGCTTGTAAAGGGTTTGGGGACCCTAAACCCTAAACCCTAAACCCTTAAGGTTCACGCCTCAGGGTTTAGGGAAAGAAGGTCCGAGGTTGATTCGGGTTCGTCATCAAACAGTCATCGGTTTAGGGTTGAGGGCTTACAGAGCGTAGCGTTCTGGGGCTATGGGTTGGGTTTCAGGGTACGTGGTGTGGGGGTCTAGGGTTTAGGTTTTTCCGGGGTGTTTGGGGTTGACAGGAGCCCTAAAACCCTTATTTATAGTGCCGTCATAGAAACCCTTTTAGGTCCCTTTAAGGAGTCCTCGAATGGGGACCCAGATTTATGTAAGAACCCTTTGATTATCACATATCCCATCGCAGGAAATAAGAGCTTCAGAGAAACTCTCTGAAAGCCCATAAACTATTAATTGCAGTTGAGCCTACATGTATCTCTAGACAAAACCCTGCATAGGAGAAATAGGATGCCTCATAGCTCATAACACCGACGTGATCCTATGTTTACTACTGGGGCTCCGCTGAAAAGCTTGAACTGACAAACCCTGGAGCCCTGTTGAACAAAACTTACTACTGAACCGATCAAACCTCTATGACACGTTCTAATTAAGAGGTTCCGAAACACGGTAATAAAGGAATATTCCTGAAATTCTACAAGCAACACCAATAATAAACCCTAAACTTCCTAAACCCTAAACCCTAATACATATGTACACATGTAATGTAGGGGCCTGAATAATTAGATCAGGGTTTGGGGGCTCCTTATTTTTAACTGTAATATAAGATGCCCCAAACCCTGTTCTAATTATTAACGCCCCCGTATTATATAAATGGACATTATTTGGTGAAGACGTTTGGAGTCGGTGGGCAAAGTACCAAAAAAACCCAAATCCTCAACCCTAAACAGACCCTTGCAGTCCTACAGCAGCCCTTGAAACACCCCTTACAGCAGGCCCTAAAGTAACCCCTGAAGTAACCCTGAAAGAAGGAAACCCAAAACCCTAAACCCTGGAAGAAGGCAAACAAGTGCGGAATGCAGAGCACCTCTGGCTTTTCTGGTGCGGAGTCGCCAAGTGACTCGGCCCACCTGGGCTTCCAGAGGGTTTAGGGTTTAGGGTTTAGGGCAAAGTAAAACACTGCCTTCACAAGACTTGAGTAATTATGTTTGGTTTGGGGTTTGAACTTGGGGTTTTTCAGGTTCAGATTTGGGGGTTTGAAAATTAGCGTCTATGCCAGAGCTCAGAGGGCTGTTGGCGCTGGATTCCGCATTCGACGCGGGATGCTGCCTCAAGGGTTTTTTTCCCAATCTTATTAAATTTGAGGGCTAAGGGCTTACCTAAGGCTCCATGTACCTCTATTATATACATATGTATATATATATATATATATGATATACATGTATACATACCTAAAATGCCTTCAAGTACCCATATTATAGGAACCCTTTGAGGCCAAAGTCTATACGATCGACGTTTGTAGGTTTTGGCAGCTTAAGGCTTAAGGTAGACGTTTTCCCCTACATCCTAAACCCGCAACCCTGGACTTTTACCTCAAACCCCTCCTAAACCCTAAACCCAAAACCCAAACCCTAAACCCTCAAGAACAGAATACATAGAAATTGTGTGAATGTCGCTTCGAACTGCATCTTCATTAGGTTCGAATTTCCCTTAAACGCGTGCGAAGAGCCCAGCCCAGCCAGCCCAACCCACACAACCCACCAAAACCCTAAACCCTAAACCCTAAACCCTAAAACTACCAGCCCAGGCCCAGCCCAGCCCAAGCCCAGCCCAGCCCAGCCCAGCCCAAGCCAGTCCCCAACCCCAGCTCAGCCCAGCCCGGCCCCAGCCAACCCGGCAGAACCCCGACGGTTTAGGGTTTAGGGTTTAGGGTTTAGGGTTTGGGGTTTAGGGTTTAGGGTTTAGGGTTTAGGGGACGCAAACTCTATACAATGTATATTTACCTGAAACCTCAAAGACTAGACACCAGAACTCTAGGCCCGGCAGACTGACGACCAGGGCCCGGAGGGTCCTCCTGTAGCATAGCATACGGGTTAGGGTTCAGGGTTTAGGATTTAGGGTTTCGGGTTTAGGATTTAGGGTTGAGGGTTTAGGATTTAGGGTTGAGGGTTTATCTTTTAGGGTTTAGGGTATAGGGTTGAGGGTTTAGGTTTTGGCTTTTAGGGTTTAGAGCGTAAGCATATTATAGTTCACTAGAGATTGTTATGGTATATGGCCATTTATAAGTATATCGATCATTGTATAGTGTACAGCGGTAGTGTATTCTAATTAGTATATTGTCCCATTCCATGATATATTTTAGTATAGCGGGGAGCATCGTCAAACCCGTTTCGAACCCATGCAGAAGCGCAGAGCAAAAGTCCTCTAGAGCCCTATGCACCCTATGATAAGTACATATAGATGCAGACATCTTGAACAACACCCCCACCCCACCCCCCCCCCCCCCCCCCCCCCCCCCCCCCCCCCCCCCCCC